TTTTTTTTTGGAGAGATTTTTGCTATAGGGCACATGCATTCGCCAGACAGACAGAGAGACAGAAAGCAAGAAATCACACCCCAGGGGTGATGGCCACGCTGCAGTCCCTTCTCCGTTCTCCTCTCGGGATCTTGGGCACTTACACACACGCGCCCAGCGTGAGTTTTAAGCCACCGGATCTGGGACTCAAACCGCAGTTGACTACATGGGAGTCCAGCGACATAGCCATTATGCTAACTGCTGGTCCCAGCCCTTGCCATTTCTGAGAGGGACTGAGGGCAAGTGACGTGCCAGGTCTGCAGGTCTCCACCAGAGGAGCTGGGACCCAGCTCCAGGCTCCTCTCACACCCAATGGAAAGGCAGGGCCATGGCAGGGCAGGCCCACCCCAGATGCCTGTCTCCCCTCAGACCTAAACAAGGCCTGCGGGAACGCCATGGACGCCCACGAAGCTGCCCAGATGCACCAGAACTTCTCGCAGCAGCTGCTCCAGGACCACATCGAAGCCTGCAGCCTCCCCGAGCACAATCTCATCACGGTAGAGACCCAGGGAGGGCTGCGGGAAGGAAGCGCATGGCTGGCTGTGTTTCCCCCAGCTGTGCAGTAGGCCCCAGCTCAGCCCCGGAGCTCCCTCTGGTGGGGAACACAGCCACCCAAAAGGGTGATGCTGGTGCTCTCAGGGGGCGTGGTTGGCGAGAGGGCTTGGCTGGTGAGCAGCCCGAGCTGGGCAGCATCCCAGACCCCCCTCCCTCGGGAGCTACTGACCATGTGTCCTCTCCTCCCCGCAGTGGACAGACGGCCCGCCACCCGTGCAGTTCCAAGCTCAGAATGGACCCAACACCAGCCTGGCCAGCCTCCTGTGAGGCCCCTAGAGGGGGCCCCCCAGCTCCTTGGGGCCTCTGCGGGGCCCAGATGGCCCTTGAGCTTTCCCTGGCCAACATGCCTGCACGGCCGTCCCCAGGCTTCTTTCCGGACTGTCTCCAGAGCTTCCGTGTCCTGGGGCATGTGCAGGCCCAGTCCGTGCCCCCCAGGAAGGGGCAGCCGGCTATTCTGGCCTCCAACCAGGACCATCGGCGCCGAGGCCCAGAGTTGGATGTCGGAGCTGCCTTTCCAGAGCCATCCTTTAAAGTGGATTTCGGCTGCCAGTCCTGTCTCCACGTCTGAGTCTGCCTGTCGGGGACACGTGTGGGCAGAGCCTGGGGCCCAGACCTTGCTGCCAGGGTGGGCGGGACTTCAGGGCCATCCTGTCAATGCCAGGTAGGGGTCTATTTCCTCTGCCCAAGGCAACTTCCGCAGCCCAGAGGCCAGACACCGGCCCCTGGCCCAGATCTGGAGGGAAGAAGTGGCAGCCCACACACACCTGGCTTGCCTCTCCCCAGCGTTTGTCCTGACGGCCACGCCCTGTGGTCAGTGGCTCTCAGGCACCCGAGAACCCAGCCTCCAAACGTCTGAACTGAGACTGGAATGGCCACCCTGCCGTGGGAGTGCGAACACAGGTGTGCGTGTGCGCGTGCGCGCGTGCGTGTTGGTGTATAGCAGAGTTCGTGGAGCTGTGAGCTGAGACGCCTGTGTTTGCACCACCTGCCTTCCCCCGGCACTGCTGCTGAGGGCCAGGAGGCACGCATGGCGAGGCACTTCTCACCCAGATTCAAGATCTCCACCTACCAGGACTCTGGGCATGGGGCACGGCCCCCTCAGACCTGGCCCGAGGGGGCTTCCTTCCTGGCAGCTCTGCAGCCTTCTGTGCAGGTGTGGTCGGACAGTGGCTCAGCCCCCGAGCCTCCCTGCCTCTCCTGCTGAGGTCTGGGGGACAGCCTGGACACCTCTTCCTGAGCCAGCCCCCAGGGTCACGGCAGGGCCCAGAAGCAGCGCTCTGTGGATGCTCAGGGAGGTCCCCACGGTGACGGTAGCAGCTGGGGTCAGGGCAGCAGCCCCCGTCTGACCTCCGGCACCTCAGAGTGGCTTCCTACTGTGGGGCGTGGGTGGTCTCGCTCATCAGGGTAGGTCGTCTCGGGTCTCGTTACCCTTGCACTGTGAAGGCTGCTTCTAGAGCGTCGGTGTCCGTGACTGAAGGGACGTTGGCACTGCCCAGGTCAGCTGCCCAGGCTCTGGGGCCTGGTGTGCCTTAGCCACAAATGGGGCCATCAGCAAACCCTCTCCCTCGCTGGGTCCTGCCCGTGGCCATGGGCAGGCAGGTCAGAGGGACCAGGCCAGTGGCAGCCTGTCCTGAGAACACTCACCACTTCTGGGTCACCAGGGAGAGCCCAGCTGCATCCCACACTACCGGGGCTGCCCTCTCAGGCCCATGGGGCCCACAGGCTGTCCCCACCCTGTCTTCCACCTGAGCTGTGGCCTTCGCCCAGCTCCACCCCATGGATCCCCTCGAGGGATGCCCTGGGTTGTCTCCATCCCTGAGACGGGATCCCGTGTCTCCATGACCCGCTCCTGCTGGCGTGGACTCCAGACTCCAGACCCGCATCCCCTTCAGTCATCATGTTTGTCTCCGTGTATTTATTTAAGCCTCTTTTTGCTTCTAGGGCATTTCGTATGTAGAGCGGTCGAAAGACCCTCCGAGTTTAACGTCTGTCTCGATGTTAAAGCTTTTAGTGACCACCCTGTTCCCTGTGGCTATGTCGAGTTAAGGTTAAGATCTTAAGTTTACAATTAAAAATTCAGTACCCGATATTTAATGTTCCACTCAAGCTTTACGGAAGCCAAATCGTGAGTGCATGTGCGTGCATGTGTGTGTTTGTGCGTGTGTGCGTGTGCAAGCTTTGAACCCCCCTTCACGGCAGCATCTTCCAATCACACAAGCTTTCCGGAAAACCCTCCCTGTGAGTCCCAGTCAGCACCTCCCATTCGCTCGTCCGATGATAAGAACGGGAGGTGGACAGCAAACCCCCAGGGAGGCTTTACACACAGTCCTGCCGGGTGTTTGGAACGACTCCAGGGCCTTCACGCACCAGGCCAGGGAGTAGCAGCAAGGGTCTGTTGGCAGGTGGATTGCTGGAAACTGGGTCAGATTTTCCATGCATCTCTCCCCTCATCCTGGGGCCTACAGGTTTAGGGTCTGGCCCAGGAGGCCAGGTATGGCAGGGAACAAGCCATCGTGCTCACAGGCGCCCAGCCAGGTCTCTGCAGTCACCTGCCAGTGAGGCGAGAGTCCCCTCCCTGGAGTACACACTCCCAACCCCTTATCAGGAACAGCAGGCAGGAACATGGGAACTGCCCAGTGCAGGGGGGGTCAACACATTCGGTTGCATCATCTGTCTTGTTTCATTAAGGTTTTTCACCAAGTCTGTTGGGTATAACATCTTTTGAAGGATTCGTAATATCTTACGGATTTAGTCGCCTTTAACTTTTCAGCTGGTGCTTTTAATCAGGAAAAGAAAAATAATATATGTAAATATAAAAACATTGTTTCAAAGACATAACCATAGAACATAGCTGCCGGTTTATGGATTTCTTTTCCTATATTGTATATTTGAAGTAAAATAACGTCCAGGAGCCGTCCCTTGCTGAGTCTTTGTCATTCTGTCCGTCCCCTCTTCACTCCCCATCCCAGAAACAGATCGTTACCCTCCCTGCCCTGCCGGCGGGACCCCTCTGTGATGAGCTGCAGGGTCTTCAGTTAACACAGGGTACGGAGAGGCCATGCCCCTTACACAGATCCCAGTGACCTGCTGGAAATCTGAGTCTCCTTCCCCTTTTATTGATAATGGACCTCTGGTTCAACGCCCCCTGGAGACAGGGAACCCCCCCCCCCTGCTGCACCAGCTCACACGGCCTCAGTGCCTTCTGTCCTCCTCATTGGTTTTTAGAGACCGGGTCTCACTGTGTTGCTCGGGCTGGCCTTGAACTGGAGAACCTCCTGCCTCAGTCTTTGGAGTCGCTGGGATTACAGGTGCAGCCACCATAGTCCCTCTTATCCTACCTCTTACCCTCCGACCTCCTCGATGCTGTCACAGACAAGACTTGCTCTTGCATCTCCATATTCTGATTTCGGTTAGAAAGTGTGTCCTGAGACCAGCACTTAGCATAATGGCTGTGTCGCTAAACTCCGATGGAGTCGACCGTAGTTCGAGTCCCTGACCCAGTGGCTTAAACTCAAGCCGGGCGCGTGTGCGTGCGTGCCCAAGATCCCAAGAAGAGAATGGAGGAGAAGGGATTGCGGCGTGGCCATCCCCCCCTGGGGTTGATTTCTCGCTTTCTCTCTCTGTCAGGTGAGCACACGCGCCCTATAGCAAAAACCTCCCCAAAAAAGAAAATAAAAAGAAAATGTGGGCTGGGAACCAACAGATTGCTTATGTCACTGGAGTCCCACATGGCCGACTGTGGTTCGAGTCTTGGACCTGGTGGCTTGAAACTTAAGCTGGGCTTGTGCGCGTGTGCCCAAGGTCCCCGGTAGGAGAACGGAGGAGAAGTGATTGCCACTTGGCCATCACTCAGAGGGCTGATTTCTCTCTTTTCCTCTCTCTGGGTATGTCTCTCTCCACCCCCAGTGAGCACATGCGCCCTAAGGCAAAAACCTAAAAAAAAAAAAAAAATGTGAGCTGACTTCCATCGGTCTAGGGAGATTTTGTATTTTTATGTTTTTTCTAGAATTTGAGGTGAAATTCTCATACCCATTTGGAAGTGATCAACCCTGAGACATTCAGTATGTTCAGTGTTGCACGCTGTCACCTCTGTCTAGTTCTAGTTTCATTTTTTATTTATTTATTTTTAAGAGTGGTTTTTGCTATAGGGCGCATGCGCTCACCAGACAGACAAGAGACAGACAGAAAGCAAGAAATCCCCACCCAGGGGGGATGGCCATGCCACAATCCCTTCTCCTCCATTCTCCTCTCGGGATCTTGGACATGCACGCACACATGCCCGGCAAGAGTTTAAACCACCGGGTCCGGGACTCAAACCGACATAGACTACACTGGAGTCCAGCAACATAGCCAATATGCCAACTGCTGGTCCCTAGTTCCAGTTTTATTTTATTTTTTCTAGTTTTATTATTACCACACGAGAAAAACACTGTACTTGGGGGCCAGCAGGTGGCATGGAAGTTAAGGTCCTGGATCCCACATGACCCACGGCAGTTCGAGTCCCAGGCCCAGTGGCTTGGGAATCCCACACGGCATGTGTGTGTGCATACCTAATATCCCAAGAGAAAATTGGAGGAGAAGGGACTGCAGCATGGCCATCTCCCTGGGGGACTGATTTCTTACTTTCTCTCTCTCACAGGCAAGCTCATGTACCCTATGATAATTTAAAAAAAGAAAAGAGAGGAGAGAGGAGGGGAGGGGAGGAGGGGAGGAAGGAAAGAAGAGAAAGAAAAACTTTGGGGGTTGGCTCCATGGCCTAGAGGTTAAGGGAGTTAAATCCCACAAGGCCAATCAAGGTTCAAGTTTGAGCCCAAGCAACTGGAAAACCATACTGGGTATCTGCATGTGTGTGCTCCAAATCTCAATAGGATGGGAAAATACAGGACAAGAGCTTGTCAAATTACCTCACCCCATCAGGAGTACTTTCTCCCTCTAAAAAATAAAATAAAATCTGGGACCATCAACTGGCGTGGTGGTTAAGGCGCTGCACA